CAGCATTTGCGCTTTCTTCTCCAACTCCATGTTCCATTTCTACAGATGTTGAAAGACAGATCAACTAGAACTTAATGAACAATATAATGATCTTTCAGGTTTGCGAAAACTATATTTCTATCAAAATGTCATGAGACGGATTGCTTGTGTGTGAAAACGTGATCTTAGTTAGTCCTTAATGGCGTAATGCAAAACGGTTCGAATGATGTTGTTTAGCATGTCGAATCAGTGAAATCGTTGTGGTCTTATCCAAATGCATATGCATTTTCCTTGGTGAGTATTGAGTTTGATTTTGGAAAGTGAACCCGCTGAACAGTTATATCTCAATTTCAGTCACGGAGTAAATCAAACTGAACGAACTAACACATTGTGTTTATTAGAATTCTATGTGAAACTAATTTACTACCATGATCAGTAGACCTTGGAAAAGTGCAATATCCGGGATGGAAGTGGTGAGATTCCAATGGATTAGAATTATATGGAATTTATCATTAAGTGAATAGAGTAGAACTCACAATACATTGATTTCTTGGTCAAAACTGAGACATGTTTTATTTTTTTACACATGTTACTCTGGTGAGTGATCAGGCAATATAATAGTTTTATTTGCCTTATTAAAATGTGAATGTGAACAATAAATCTTACTAATGGTTTTATTGATGTGGCAATAGGTTGTCCTTCCAACTGTCCATGCATCACTGATATCCTTGCATTGTTATGCAGCTTTAACATCTTCTCTCTGGTGGCATTGTCCATCGCTGCATGAACACCACAACATACAAGAAGGCATAGTGTCGTCAGCGCTGTTAATGATGACTGACATTTCACAGTCATCTCGAAATGGATTGCCTTCCAATAACTTGATGAACAAATTAGACGTGTACAGTGGTCCGTGCACATGTTTTCCGTTTATATACTCTTATTTATAGTAGAAAGTATGCAAACGTCCTAATGTTGAAATGATATTGCTGTGGATAAACAGATTAGTCACACGTCAATCATCTTTAAACTTTGGGAAATACGTTGAAATAAATGTTGATCATCTGACTGACAGTAGTTAATCTTGAAAATTGTATTATACAATTTACAAAGTATATGTTGTTCAATGCACTGATCACCTTCACCTCATTAGCTATACATATGAAATGGAGGAATATGTACAATTGGAGGATAGATTATTAACAGTTAAACTCTTCACAATTAAATGATATTGTGTAGTGTTTCAAAAGGAACACAGTGTGAGATAATAATAAATTGAAGTTCATAATTAATTTCAGGAATTCATTTTAAGATAAATGGAACTGGCAATATTTGAGATATCATGATAAGTCACTGGCTGTAGAACATTTGATTACACATGAATTCTAGAGAGATAACATTTTGTCCGCAGTGACTAAATTTGAAAACAGAAAACATAAACACGATTAGTATCACGTTCACATCTAAGGCACATAACACCATCGACACTTCCTTTGTATGAGATCATGAATCAATCAATGTTGCACCACTAGTGAAATCCTAGAAACACTGTATGGCCGTTTCTTCCCATTATGAAACTCGTCAGCAGTGCGCATCCACACTGGATGTGAACCCAGAACCTATTGATCTCGCCCTCGGACGCTCAACCTCTAGATCAGTGAGTCGGCATTCAATGATGTTAATATCTTATTCTTTTTATATGTAAATCAAGTCTGTACGATTCCTTTATGCTACTTTTTTTTCTCAAATATAATTTTATCTCTATCAAATGTAATCAACAACCGTGACTGGATATTATCTACGAAGATAGAATAATGTTTAAGCTATATAATGATAAAATAAATGTGTTATTAAACATACGTTTTCACATTAAAACTGTTTAGTTTCAAATAATAATTTGTTTGACTACTACTTGGTTGAGAATTTTTTTATGGACAAATCAGTATTCAAATTATTCACCTTCAGTTAACCTTAACTAATCGATATCGAAAAATGAACAGTAGGGATTAATGTTTATATTAAAAATTGAATTTTTGAGAAATTCTTACATTATATGAATAGTATATGAGGGTAACTATGTCTTTATTGTTGGAGACAAAAAGAGGTATCACCAGAGAGTTATAGAGTATGTTGAGTTTTGACTGAAATCATGAACGGATAAATATAAGACCATCATTGAAAATGTGGAGTTAAATACTTAACAACATCTACAAAGTCATGCTGATAATTACAGTGTGTTTATTAATGACTAGCTTTGAGAAGTTTTTCTCAGATTTCTAGTATGAAGCCATGACCACTGGAGTGCAATCGATGTTGGAGGTGAGGCTGTAACTCAAATAAGACAGTGGAAGATCGTTGCACAATGTAATGGTTTGGTTGTAGTTAGATATTAACATCGTTGAACACCGACATCTGGCAACAAAATTATCCTTACAAATAAGCGCTGAACGAATTATAGAATATTAAGTGACTGTACTAAAATAGGTATCCTGAACTCATTTATGAACTTCCACTTCATTATTAACTCACACTGTGTTCCTTTTGTAAACACTACACAATATCGTTTAATTGTGAAGAGTTTAACTGTTAATAATCTATCCTCCAATTGTACATATTCTTCCATTTCATATGTATAGATAATGAGGTGAAGGTGATCAGTGCATTGAACAACATATACTTTGTAAATTGTACAATATGATTTTCAAGATTAACTACTGTCAGTCAGATGATCAACATTTATTTCAACGTATTTCCCAAAGTTTAAAGATGATTGACGTGTGACTAATCTGTTTATCCACAGCAATATCATTTCAACATTAGGACGTTTGCATACTTTCTACTATAAATAAGAGTATATAAACGGAAAACATGTGCACGGACCACTGTACACGTCTCATTCATTCATCAAGTTGTTGGAAGTCAATCCATCTCGAAAAGACTGTGAAATGTTAGACATCACTGTGAGCACTAACGACAGCTCATGATTTATATGGCTGTTGTACAATAAAAACCACCTATCTTCACGCATCTTCCGCAAAAATATTTCCTCTGTCTGTCGGCCTGTTTGTTTCTTCCTCACAACATCATCAATATAGTTGACACTGCTAAGAAAATACATGTGGTTGAATGTCTAGTGATATAGGAAATCATCCGAATCATCATTTCTACCAGAACATCTTGACATTTGTCAGAGTGATGATACATAGAACCAGTCTTTGATATGACTCAATATACTTATCAAGACCAATGAATTTTAACTGATATTTCATTACTGAGAAGTTTCTGTTTGATGATGGTTATGTGAGCAGTGCCACACCTTACTTACTTACTGATGCATGTTACCTCCGTTGGAGGAGCATAGGCCGCACACCAGCCATTTCCCATCCAACCCTATGCTAGACAATCCTTCCCAGATCTTTTCTGTTCATATTCATACTTTCCACATCTGCTTCTATTTCTCGGTGTAATGTGTTATTCGGCCTTCATCTCTTCCGCTTCCCTTCGAGATCCCAAGTAAGCACCAGCCTCGTGATGCAGTTTGTTGATTTCTCCAATGTATGTGCTACCCACTCCCTATGTCTTTTCCTAATTTCCTCTTCACATGAAAGCTGTTTTATTATCTCACACAATAGGTTGTTTCTGATGGTTTCTGTTCAATGTATATTCAGTATCTTGCCCAGATAGCTTTTCATAAATATTGTTAACTTCTTGATGATGTTTGTAGTAGTTCTCCACGTTTCAACCTCGTTCAGTAGAACTGTCCTGATGATCGTATTGAATATTGTGCATTTGACATTGATTGACAGTTGTTTTGAGTTCCATATGTTCTTCAATTGTATAAATGCGGTCCTCGCTTTTACATCAGCATCAGATCCTCCTTGTTCATCAGTCATGCTTCCCAGGTACGTGGGTGTTTCCACATCTTCCAGAGTTTCGCCATCGAGTGTGATTTGTCTGGTGTTCTCCGTGTTGTATTTGAGAATCTTGTTTTTTCCATTGTGTATGTTTCGGCTTATTGATGCAGAGGCTACTGATTTATTAGTTGTCTTCGTCTTTATTTGTTGGTGTGTGTGGGATAGGAGGACTAGATCAACTGTGAATTTCAAATCGTCCAATTTATTCTGGGGTGTACGTGATTTTCTGTGCTCCGACTCAGATGTCGAAGTCTTCATGATTCGGTCAATCACCAGAAGAAGGTAGATGAGCGAGAGTATACAGTCTTATCTGACTCCGAACCACACTGCAAAATGCAGCTCTCAGCTGAACTTCATGCGCGATCTTGCACCGTAGTCTGTCGTATGAGTTCTGGATAATGTTGACAATCTTCTCACGAACTCCATAGTGTCGAAGAATGTTCCATAATGTTATCCTCTTCACAGTGTCAAACGCCTTCTCATATTCGATGAATGTGATGTATAGTGACGAGTTCCACTCAACTGATTGTTCGATGATGATCCGTTTGGCTGCAATTCAGTCTGTGCACGACCGATCCTTACGGAATCCAGTGTGTTGATATCGAAGTCAGGCGTCTACAGCTTCTTTCATTCAGTTCTGCAACGCCTTATCGAAAACGTTCCTTGGTACTGACAATACTGTGATGCCTTTTTTGTTCACACATTTGCTCTCATTGCCATTTCTTTTTTATCTTGATGAGTTGTCTTTCTTTCCAGTGCGTTAGTGGCACACATTCAATCAGTTTAGTCTTGTTTCACAGTCCGAGATTTCAATGTGAGTAAGTGGCTATTCGATTCTTCGAAATGTATTGCACTTATATCTCAACACATAGTTTTAATAATGTTTGTCTTCTTTTTACATTGCATCGATTGTATTCACTTAACTTAAGCTCTTATTAGATGAACATGCGTACTGAAAGACAATTTACTACACATTATTTTATCCATTTCATAAAAACACATGACATAGACAGTCATATAAAACATGTAAATCATCCAAGATTGTTTGTTTGCATTCCATACATAATAAAGTAAACAGATTCCTTATTGTGTACTTATTAAATAATCATGTTGATCAACGAATTCATTTATAAATGTATAAATTTAATCATTGTAAACAGTTTAGAACTAAACTATCAACTCAACATGTTGTATACTATACAGTTCAATCTTATTTTCTTCGTGCTAGTGAACATTTACGAAAATCTAGCCTATAGATGGTATACACAAAACTCTGAATTATTAGCTTTACACAATGCATATAGAAGAGATATAAAATATGGTCATGTTCGTGATCAACCACAAGCGATGAGTATGCTTAAACTAGTGAGTAATTAGCTAGCAAAAAATTGTTTATGTTAGACATGGAGTCATAAATTGGCTGAAATGGCTCAGGACTGGGCACAGCATTGTGTGCCAAGACGAAGTAACTTGACTATGAGGAAAGGTTCGAAATGGACATATGTTGGTCAGAGTATCGCTCTCGTTCCTAAAGTTAGAGAGTAAGTTTATTTGAATAACTGCATATTGTTTATAACTAGTATAAATAAGTTTTGATAATGTACACTTCTGTAAATGTTTAATCTGTGAATTCTATGTGACATTGAACTGTATTTTCTATTTATCCTTCTTCATGTTCACTTTTTGATTCGTATTTGCAGAGCAGCATCTTTATGGTTTGAACAACACAAGAACTACAATTTCGGAAATAATACATGTGAGGCAAATAAAACTTGTGCAGATTACAAACAAGTGAGTGTCGAACAAATATCAATTTGATTATTGTGAGGACTTCTCAGCAGTGCGCATCCACGATCTCACCTGTCAATGGTCTAGAGGTTAATCGTTTATGCGAGATCAATAGGTCCTGTGTTCAAATCATACGTATGGGCTCGTAAATATGCACTTCAGAGGAGTCACACTCTAGGTTGAGACAGACGTCTGGTGTTTCCAGATTTTCAATAGTGTTCTAGTTTTAATTGACTCATGAATTCAACTATTAAATTATACAAATGCATTTATGAAATTACGAATGATATTCAATTATTCGTTAACACATAGATATTGAATACATTAGGAAATTATAAAAACTAAAATCGGCATAAAAGTTGATTTCTTTAGCATTGTACAATTCTGGTTAGCATTTCTTTAGCGAGTTACATTTTCTACGGGTTGGTGTCGCTAACCCCGTGTCCGGCCCTCCTCCTTTACCCGGGCTTGGGACCGGCAGTAACTCTAGAAGAGCTACAGACGGAGTTACTGTACAATGCACTCATTACTTATCTATGCCAATTATTTACTTTGGTCATTATAATATAATAAACAGAAATACACAAATATAAAGCTTAGTGTTTGGGTAAATCACTTAAATGTAAATCGTTAGTTATTACATTGTCACTCTATCCAAATAATATGAAATGGAATAGTTTATGTAGTAACAGTTATATTCTAATCGGTCTAACTCATATACCAAATAAAATTCTGTAGATAGTGAAATACAGCTGATTTGTTGTATATAAATGGTGAATCGTAAGAATCGAACCTTATAACACGTCATTGTTTTGATTCAATCGAACCGAATAAATTGAGAGGACAAACCAGCTTCCAGCTGGTGAGGGATTTAGGAAAAGACATTGGAAGTGGATCGGATATACATTAAGAAAATCACCAAACTGCATCACGAGGCAAGTGCTAACTTGGAATACTGAAAGGATCCATAAAAAGGGAAGGCCGAAGAACACAATACGGCAGGAAATAGAAGCAGATGTGGAGAGGATGAATGACAACTTTAAAGAACTGGGAAGAATTGTCGAGGACTCGGTTGGGTGGATAGTACTGGTGCGTGGCCTGTGCTCTTCCACGAGAGGTAACAGGTGTAAGTAAGTAAATAAGTAACCGACTAAATTAGTTGAAGCATTTTGAAGTATGAAACCTCAAAATTCTTTCGTAACAATATTTATGCTGAAAATATTTTATATTAATATATGTTTTACAGTTAGCATTCGCCGATACCACACATATTGGATGTGGTTATGCAATGTGTAGACATCTAACAGGACTAGATAAGCTTCTTGTTGTTTGCAACTATGGACCAGGGTATGTAATTTCATGAAACATTTTGTTCAACATTCATCGATTTATGTCATTTATGTGTTCTGTACTAACATGACACATTATTATTATTATTATTATTATTATTATTATTATTTAACCATATAAATATTGGTACAAGGAAGCACCAGTTACATATTCGCTTCACAAATCTCATTCGATTTGTGTGGGGGCTGTGATACTGCCCAGAAGCCCAAACTGAAGCAGGTGGTTTTCTTAAGGAACCACACCCGGAGCCTTTCACCTAAAGATCTGATCCACAAGGCAGTGAAGCATCGTAAGGAGATGCAGTCACATGATAGCTGGTGACCAACGATTGGTTCATACGCCATTTATTCCTTCAGGATACTGGAGCCTATGTGCACCATTGGTTTGGAATCAGGGTTTTCTAAATCCCCTAGGTGGATTTTCCGTGTCCACCAATCCAGTTAAAGCGCCGGATATTCTCTTTTCGTAAACAACACTCCCGCCACGAGAAAACATTGAGTAGGACTTCCTTGATACGCCTGGTCATGTGAGAGCGTTTCGAGAGGGAGAGCGGACTATTGGCCGTACCAGGGCATTTAAGGGCCAACATGACACTGCTCACTATTGTTCATCTAAAACCACATCGGAGATTCAAATTAGAATATTTAGGTTCGTCAGAGAGCACCTCAAATTCTTACCGCAGTGTCACAAGACCTAACAGAACGCATCTCCAAATTTAGCTAGTTTGCCATACTTTACGACCACTATACTTTTCTGCCAATCATAACTAATTGAGGCTCGAAATAATTGAACTTTACCAGTCACGCTATCTAAGTAGAGTTCGCGTAATACTTATCAAACATAGTCACCATAATGATAGAAAACCTTCAATTTATTGGTAAAGGCGATTCGCTCTGGGGCGATCAATTACTGTTAACAGAAATTTTGTTGATATGGATGTTGAGATATAACGGTCTTATTCAATGTAGTATACTGAGTTTCGCAATGAATGGATCACTTCAATCGGTCTTTTTTATTTTTAAAGAACATGCTTTTCACAAATACACAGCGTTATAATTGAGCTCTACATTCAATTGTCTTTGAAATCATTTCGCTAATCTTAAAACAGCCCATTACTTAACAGAGTGTTTAGATTAGAATCAAAAGTGTAGTATAAAACGTATTTCTGTTGAATTCCATTTATGCATAAACAAATGATTTATTATATTCTTGTTTTTACTTCTCTAGGGGTAAATATGCCAATAGACAACCCTATGATCCTATATATCCTGAAGATCCATACTACCTCCCATTAATTTAACCTGCTAATATAACTGATGATCATTTATAGAAAACAAAATAATGTTTGAATGAAATTTAATATAAATATTTAACCTTTTTAACACAATATGGTTCGAGTTCATGATCTGAATAAATAGGGATTTTATTTTAATTCATTAGTCCATTAAAACTAGATCATCATTGAACATTTGGAAGCATTTGACGATCGTTTGTCCTAGTATATGATTCCTCTGCAGTGGATATTTACGATCTCACTACATATGGGATTTGAACCTAGGACATATCGGATCTACCGATATTCAATTTTTACAAGCGAAAATATCAAATTTATTTGTTTGGCAAAATAAATCAAAGAATTTTTTCACAAAAATTATACAATAGGGGGTTGTTTGTCATGTTTATCATGTGCTCACCAGAGACTGGCTCCATAAGGTATTTTCTGGGGTACTTGTGAGAAGCAGTAGCCTGTGGAGTTCAACCAGGTCTGTTAGGAGATATCAAATCACTGAAGACATTGGTGAAATGACTGCCCGACTTCGTGGATTGGTTGAAGTGAGACATTAACACTGTTGATGCCGGTCGGCTCATTGGTTTATCGTTTACGTGCTCTGGCGAGAGACTGTTAGATCCTGAGTTCGTAAATGGCTAGGCAATATCGTGGCCGCGCACTGCTGAAAAGTTACACAATATGACAAAACAGCCGTCCAGTGCATCTAGGTTTTCCATGGTGGTCTAGATTCAATTGACTCATGATTTCAATTATACAATAGTTCATAATAAGAGTTATTGATATGTAAACCTTTTGTTAAGTAAAAATTACGTGTATGATGTGAATATGTAAAATTTACTTGTATCAAGTTACCTTCAGTTTGAAATTGATTCAGTACAGGATGAGAGTCTATGAAAACACTTAGTTAATAGAGAATATAACTTGTTAAACTAAACATTATTTTCCACTGTCAGAACATTATGATTGAAGTGTTGTCATTCCTGTTGACTAAATGAGTAACGATGGTTATGATATAATATGATTCGTAATTTATTTTCGTTCGAAACACTCAGTCAAACTTCACTGAATAACAATCATAATAAGAATGAAATTTGTAGTGCTCTAAAGGAATTCAATTTAGACAACTAGTCAGACGGTAGGAATATCAACTCGCTGAAATAACTTTGTGCTTCAGGATAATATAAACAAATAAAGATAGACAAGTATTCATGCAGCATAGTCTACAACATTACAAATATACATGAAGAGGTTAGATAAGCTCGAACAGTAGATTGTATCAAGTTGCTTAATTAGTTGACCAAAGGACTGTAACTTTGATTCAGTTCAAAGGATTCAATTATGACATGTTATATCAACATTATTCGTTAATGATAAAAATCAGCTTGATATATAAGGAGTAAACAGAGTTTTGATTTGTAGTTATTTAGTCCAGCACCTTTATTCAGTGCTCTATTCTAATTTTCAAATTTGTATTTCGCATGCAGGTAAATCTATTTTACTATTACTTCTTTACCGATAAATAAGTCGACAGACTACCCTACAATAATAAATATGGCTAAATTTGAAAAAAATTGTATAGTGCCGAATGAAACTAAAGTTTAATAGTTGAATTCATGAGTAAATTAATCTCGACCACCGTTGTAGACCTGGAAGCACTGGACCGAACATTCGTCTTAGTATGGGACTCCTCAACAGTGAGCATCCACTAAACTTAACATTATTGAGAAGAATAGTTTAAAATGATTACTATCTTATCAAATATTGAAGGCCATGTTGTGAAAGTAAGCGATTGAACAAAGAAGATTTTTAAAGACAAACGTTGTTTGTTCTAGTGTCTGTTGATTTAATCACGCATAGTAGATGGAGACGTACAAAGCAGGAGCACTTCCGTGAAAACATATATGAGATGCCGGTCTATGAACAAAAATAATTAAAATAATAATCATAGATATTTTACTGATGAACACATACCTAATATGAACTAACACATTTAGCCATATTCCAGTATATCTACACTTACTAGAAAAGAATTCATCTAATGGTCATTGCAATTCAACTGTCTGTCTCTCTGACAATTCATCTTATACATTATGTAAACATATAATCATTATCTAAGATAGGCTTTAGTGATATAAATTCAAATTTATCCATCAATGAAATAAGAATACGATCTATTTAGTAAACAGCAAATCGGTTTCTGTGTCATTACAAGTTTGTCACAAGTATCGAAAAATATCTCTCGATTGTTGCTTTGTCACACATGATAATCAACCAACGTGCGTTTTGAAATGATTAGTTTGTTTATTTTCGATGTAGAAAAGTGCTTCAGGTTCCGTTCTGTATATCAAACAAAGTGAATTATTCGCGCGTAACGTTAACTTCATCAACAATCGGTCATTGACATCATGTTATATGGCTAGTATTAGCGAAAATCCGTTCTATATTTTGGCGTCCATAAGACTCAGATATGCATATCGACTGGACTTTATATGTATCGGTACAATACTAAAACTAACTTTCATATCAAACACGTTAAACGTGCACCACTGTTCTAGTCCACTTCTCTGAAATGACTTGCATTATTGACTGTGATCGTCTGATATGTGCATTTAAAATGCCTTATAGTGTCGTACGAACAAGTATAATTGATCGACTGCTCGTTATTCGTATGGTTAACGGTTTCTTACCGTACAGTTTGCTCCGAGATAGACACTGAGCAAGTCATATTAAAGTAGAAACCTATATTCCACCGAAGTGTATTACGAACATACTCACAACCATAATCATATACACTCAAGCAGAAGGTGTCACATTCAGACCCACAAAATCATCCTGTTTATTGGCATTATTCCACACACGTTTCCACCAGTCTTATTAACCAGACAACATTGCGTTCATATTTTAAAGAGAGAAAGATAACAGTACATTTGCGGGTAGCATTGTCTTTAATGTTGGGGATAAAAGGAAGTTTCAAGTATGTAGTGTTTGTTAGATGTGAACACGGTTTCAATTGTGATGATGTGTGAAGAATTTCTGTGTGTTTTTATTGCATCACACCTTTTGTTTATTCGGGCAGAGGTATTGTTTTATGAGTTTGTACCCCTTCGTTTGAATTACAGGTGTCTGATTCAGTTGTCTTTCATTTGTATGATTACACCTTTGTTTCACGTATTCCCGATGACATCTTCTTCCGTATCTCCAGCTATACCATTTTCTGCCATACTTTATAGTCCATTGTCTGTATAGACCCTTTACACTATACGGAAATTGACGTGGGCATCCACCTCTGAGATGAGATGAGGAAAAAAGATGAACATTTTGCAATTTCAACAACGAATGGATAGTGGTCTCACAAGTTAATATATGATTTTCAAACAGCATCAGTCTGTTTTATGCACAAACACAACCTCTCTTTGTCACTCACACCATTTACTACTTTCCTCTCTCATGGACACGCATATGAATACCTATTATTATTATTATTATTATTATTATTATTATTATTATTATTATTATTATTATTATTATTATTATTATTAGGTTTATTCAATATTATATTTTTGGTACAATACAGAATTCCCAGCACAAAATATTTCAACAAGTTTTTGTTTTTTATTTCTTGATCTATCCTGACGATAAATATTGAGTGATCGACTGATGGAAGTTAGCAGTCCAGTCAATCGACATCTAAGTATTGCGAATAATGGACATAATGATGTATTAAAACAAACAAAATTAGATGAGTTTTCGAAGTATCTAGATGGAAGGAACAAGTAGCCCAGATATTCAAGCAGGCCATCTAATACATGAATTTAAACAACAAATTTCGACTATCAGACTATGATGTGAGCTACATGAGATTGTTGAGCTGTTACTTTTTTATGCGAAATAGGCACAAACCCATGATTAAGACACCTGAATAATTTACTATTTGCAAATTTCCCAAATAGAAGTCTGTAAAAATTATACAGTCACTCAGTAAACCGGTTTTATCAGTGCACATTGACAAACTTCGGTTGATAGACTACTCCACTCGAACATTGTCAGAGTCCCGACTAGAGGAGAAGTGCATTGATTTCCATGAATCAGTAACATTATCAACCTCTTTGATAGACACCTACTCACATTCAAATCTTTGACTATCAAACCGGACTAAACAGTTTGCATGTGCGGCACTGACGCACTGGAAAGAGGGAGACCTGATCAAGATACAAAAGAAAGGAGATCTGAGCAATTGTGAGAAAAACAATGGTAACAATGATTATTTCTGCGGAAGATACGTGAAGATATGTGGTTTTTTCAATTCAACAACCATCGGAAACATGGACTTTCGTAAGCGCAGTTATTGATGACTGACATTTCACAGTCATCTCGAAATGGATTGCCTTCCAACAACTTGATGAATAAATTAGACGTGTACAGTGGTCCGTGCACATGTTTTCCGTTTATATACTCTTATTTATAGTAGAAAGTATGCAAACGTCCTAATGTTGAAATGATATTGCTGTGGATAAACAGATTAGTCACACGTCAATCATCTTTAAACTTTGGGAAATACGTTGAAATAAATGTTGATCATCTGACTGACAGTAGTTAATCTTGAAAATTATATTGTACAATTTACAAAGTATATGTTGTTCAATGCACTGATCACCTTCACCTCATTAGCAATGCATATGAAATGGAGGAATATGTGGAGTGCAATCCGTGTTGGAGGTGAGGCAGTTACTCAAATAGGACAGTGGAAGATCGTTGCACAATGTAGTGGATTGGTTGTAGTCAGACATTAACATTGTTGAACACCGACATCTAGCAACAAAATTATACTTACAAATAAGCGCTGAACGAATTATAGAATAATAATATAATTAAGTAAGTAAGAATTATAGAATATTAGGTGACTGTACTAAAATAGGTATCCTGAACTCATTTATGAACTTCCACTTCATTATTAACTCACACTGTGTTCCTTTTGTAAACACTACACAATATCATTTAATTGTGAAGAG